AAAGTCGAAAAGTTCGTTAAGCATATCGCGCGCAAAATCTACGATCGTCGTTTGTCGAGCGAATCCTGTGAACAATCGTTCGATCGTTTCTCGAGGGAGATCAACGATCGACTGAACGTCTCTATTCGCCGTCCTTATTTCAGATAGTCGCTCGTCAATCTTCTTATTCCTGGAACGGATCAAAGATTCCCGATCTGCTTAGAACGAACCGGATCGTAAATTGTCCTCTTCTTTTCCTTTTCGAGATCGATTGGCGTGGATGCAAGAGTGGGGAGAATTTCCGTTCTAGCCGGTTCCGCGGATAAGAGATTCCAGCATCGTTGTGACAAATGAAAGAAATCTAAGGCGAAGATTGGTTGAATCATGTTCTTTATTGAATGACGACATACCATCGGATAAAAAATACTCGATTGTTCGATTACCACGCGAGAAACTCCCGTTACTTTTGCATCTACCGTGTCAGTTCTTTCGTTCAACAGCTGAGAAAAATCGTGCACGCGTTTGCCCTCGGCTTCCCTTTTTCGATACGTCGAATCGTCTCGTGAAACGAAAGAAACGCGAACGGAAAAGAAGAGAGAGTGGAACAGAAGGGATGAGTTCGAACGTTCGTCTTTTTCCCTTTTCTTTTCGTTTTCAAAACGGTACTACTAACGATATTTGTAGCAAAAATATACAGGCCACGTGGCTGCTTACAATATTATACGCTTCGCGAGTCCTTCGAAAGAAAGAAGAAAAACTTAACGTACACGAGAGAAACAGGAAAGCTTCTTGATCTTTTCTCCGTTTTTGTTTTTTTTTCCTCCGTTGCGCGATTGATAAAGAACGTAACGGTTAACGACGTCGAACAACCAGCACTCGTTCAGTGTCAGCCGGACGAAGCTGTACAAATCATCGATGTCCGCTGACAATGAGTTCGTTGATTGTATGTCTACGCTTACGTGCCTACTTAGACGTTCCGTTTTCGTTTCATTACGATACTGTTCCGCGCGAATTTCGCAAAGGATTTTTCGTCGTTTCCCTTTGTTTCCTTTTCTTTTCTTTTTTTGCTGCCCTCTTTTTTCGTTTCCTTCAATTACACCGCGAACAAAACTAATGACCCATGCTGCTCCGCTCGATTAGCGCAGTAATCGTATCCCCGGATGTAACGTACATACGTCACTGTCGGTAACGTATGTACCGGTTCTTCCTGATACACTTTTTTTGTTCATTTTCTTCGCTTTTAATCTTGATAAGATCGGATTTATTCCTTCGTGTTTCATACAACAGAAAAATAATTGATTGAAAATGGACCGTGTGTCCTTAGAATTACCGTTCTTTTGTGAAAAGAAATTCGCAGTCGAGATTTGACCAACCAGACTGCTCAGAATAACGATTGCCCTTGATCATTTGCATCCCCCGTTTTGTTACGATTCCATCGGTGACGATAAAAGTGGCGAAATCTCTGCTCTTTGACCATCACCTTGTTTATTCATTGAGAACTAGAATGTTTATGGTTACGAAAGACAAACAGGGGGGAAAGACTTTTGCGAAGGCTATTTCGAGGAGTCTAATTGGTCCGAAGTGTGACAATTTTCACGCGAATAAAATGATAAGTTTGTAATACATGGTTATCCTTAAACTTTCTCTCCTTTCGTCTAATGGAATACATACAAAATACTAAGGAAAATTGAATTTTCGAACGACTGATTTAACTTTGAAAAACCGTGTTGGCTCGCAAAGCATGCAATGATTTGTTACACAGTGCGTTTCTATTTTCTTTTCAACAGTAAGATTTTAGTGTTTCGTATAAGTATTCGAATACATTTTCTTGCATAATCGCATGTGATTGATACCATTAAAAAAATGGTACAATCCAATGTGCTGTAATAAAAGTTTTCCATAAAGACGGAAACCATTACACGCTCTTGCGGCTAACGTGTATGTCTTCAAAGATTAAATATAGTCCTTTTTAATTGTTTTTCTTGTTTTAATAATACTATATGTTTTACCAAAGTTTATGGTTTCACAATCGCGTACGAAGACGAAACGCAAGGAACGGAATAGGTATATTTATATACACGAATCGGACTATGTGTATATGAATGTGGTATATGTATGAACGTGTGTGCTGTATGTTCGTATCCGTGTATATGTGTGTACGTGTTTATATATAAAGAAGTCTTCCCTGTGTGTGCTTCATGTACATATTCGTGTATGTATGAGTGTACGAATGTCTGTATTTATGTATGTAAGTATGTATGTATGTACGAAACAAGTCGCATAGACGTTCTGGAAGTGGAGTCAAATACTCTCGAGTAGACTAAAGCAAAGAATCATTTAAAAATGTAGAAATTCGTTTCTTTAAAACGTATAAGCAACAGTTTAGCCATCGACATTGCCATACAGCGAGAATTGATCGCTACTACCAACTAGGACAAAGTCATCGAGTAAAAAAAGAATCAACAAGGTTCATAATACCGAAACAAAAACAGAACAGAAAACAAAAGTCGTTCGTGGAAGAAAAGAAACGTATATGAGCACGGAACAAATGTAGTGACTTTCTTACAACCCATTGAGATTGCCTGACGAACGATATCATTCACTTTGCTCATCAACTGTCAACATCCGATACTCGGGAGCTGTGTACGATTCGGCACTCCATGGTATGAAACGAAGTCCCTACATTCGATCCGCCAAATACAGAGATGTGCAATTAATAGACTCGAAGATATTGTTTTTTTTCAAAGTTTTTCTTTTAGGTGTTACAGAAACATCGTAATAGAAAACAAACCGATAACATGACCTAATTAATAATTTAAACATTTATTTAAATTGTAGACTACAAATAATAACAAGGGCGTACGAATGAAACGTTTTATTTTTTCATTCTGTTTTCTTAAAAACGTTTTTCTCACAGGTAATCAGAAGCTGACGGTTGTACGTGTTTGTAAGTAATTACAGTTGTGGACAATGTTCACTATATTTTAAATATTTAAATATTTAAACTAATCTGCAGATTGCATCATGTTTAGGCTTTGACCAGAAGTATACCGATTAGTATTAATTTGTTTTATTAGAAACGGGCAAATGCGTGTGATGTATTAAATGAATTGTACAAATATGACAGATGTAACGTAATTTATAAGAAAATGTTCTTATCTCTTATATTTGTTTGTAACTTAAGTCTAGCAATTTGCAAATCTCTGTATACATAAATAATTTTGCTAACGTTAAAAATATATATGCAACAATAATACGCATATACTAATTTGTCAAAAGCGCTCGTCTTGCGATTCTAATTGTTCCACTAATATGAATGTTCTCTTGTCTCGTTTTCGTTAACCGGCCAAGATGGGCGCCAGTCGTAGTACAAATTCAATTTTCTTAACGTCTGAATGTTTGAGACACATGTAAATAGATCTCGAATTGCAAATCATATGTCACGATATATATTTTTATATATATTTATATATATGTATATGTATATAGGGTACTACTAAAATTTCACTTTGAGCGTATACCCAACATACAGATCAAACATTTCTTCATGTGGATCTCTAGCACATCAATCACTCGGTAAAACGATGCAACGAAACTGTACTAAACGAGTCACACAACCAAAACTTTTTTGTCCCTCGTTTCTTCATTCTTACATTTATCTTAGATCTTTAAGAAAAATTGGACTCTAAAGAGCACTTTTTCGAGGCGTCGATATACGAACACGTGTATGTACAATTATACAATCCTTACCTACCTTTCTTCAGTTACGTTAAGGAAATATATACTACCTAATATTGCTATGCCACTCCTATATGTATAAATATGATTGAAAAATTGAAACGTATTCATTGGAAAGGTGTTCAATTGTTATTTAAATGAAGTGTTTAAGATTAAATACAAATGATAATTACGGTATGCGCTGTAGAAATATCTAGATTCGTTATCAGTAATAACGTTACAGAATAGATTGTTTAAAATATGTAACAAAAAGACATTATTTTTTTTTACAAAAGCAATGAGAAGTACCTTCGAATAGAAAAAAGAAATTAATTTGGCGTAAGGTACTTCTGATATTTTTATGGTGTGCAGAATTTTAGAAAAAGCTTGCTACCAATATCTTATACCCTCTAGAGCCTCTATTGTGTAATTGCAAGATTAACGTTCTGGGAACTATGTGTCTTATTTCAAGGTACTTGTTTAAGCGATGATTTGGTTGTGTGCTCGTTTACATGGCTGAATAATGCTCGTCAATGAGTGAAAACATGGTCGACTAATACAAAAGGTAATAACAAAATTCGCAATTTACCCCCAGAAACATCGTTATTCTCGCATTTCATATCGTTCTTTTTATCGCTTTTCTGGTTACCATTTAACAAATGTATATACCGAAACAACTTATGTTCACGAATTGCACGATGAATGAATAAGAATTAAAATTATAATTAAGATAGAATATGGGAACGAATGAAAGCTCACAATGATAAAAAACATTTAGAAAAATTCTCAATATAACTATCTAAGTTGCTAACCGTCGTGTCCCCCCTGTTGAAAAGACAGGAAGCACGAATTGCGCAAAAGCATTTCGCAGAATGTTTCGTTCGTTTTTAACACTGTTTCGTACGTACGTACAGCATATAATGTGTACTCTCGCGTAAGAGGAAAGAAAAGAAAGAACTAAGATTAAATGTTATTTGGAATAATCACGATTCTTAGTTAATTCCGAACGTAGGAATCAGTTCCAGATAAAAAAAAAAATGATCATTGTCTCACATTCACAAATGCGATTGGCGATCTAATCACTAATTACTGAAAAATCTATGCATACGGAACCAAACACTTCACTGTTTGCTCAGCAGCCTTCTCAGCCATCAAAGGAATTATGCGTTAGATTAATTCAGTATCTTAAGTTACCTAGTTAATGTTGTGTTTTTGTGTATTAAATCATTATCGTAACAATTATTTGTTGGGCACACACCGAATTAAAGTCTCAGCTGTAAGCACGCGTCAAACTTTTCTTTTTTCGGGATTCCTGTTCATTAGCCATCCTCTTTTGGAGGAGTAAACCAACCTATAAGAATACTTAATTACAAGATAGCTCCTTTTTTCACTAAATACATTCTACTTTTACACCGTTTTAATAGAATTGGGTTTTAAATAAATTATCATAGAGATTAAAGTCTTACCATTCTTTTCATGTATTTGTACAAGAGACTTAAATGACTGTTGTGCACGTGCTAGACTGTATTGGCCTTGTCCGCCACATACTTTGCCAGCACCACCAGATCCTTGAAACTGTATGCGTGCTTTTCCCTTCACTAGTGTTGCTGAAATCTGCATGATGACTGCTTCCACTGTATAGGCTGAACTCCAACCTTGTTTTGTCAAAAGTTCCATACAAATAGCGCCTCCAATGAGAACATATCCACCAGAGATCATGGGATGCACAACTCTAACAAACGGAGGCTCAAATGGATAAGTTTCCTGTAAGAAAGAAAACTAGAAATAGGTCTTCACATCCTAAACACTAGTAGTCATCAGTGTTCAAATGTTAAAACTGAATTATTTAAAATTAAAATACAATAAAATTAATATAATTCATTAGTGTTGCAGTTTATATAGAAACAACGATTTTAGTTCAATAAGTTACCTTAAAAAGCATATTGAGGAGAATACTATCTTTGCCTTCTTTTTCCTTCAAAAGTATGAGATCACTGTGTAAAGGTGAGTCAGGATCAACACACATCAGCCTGATATTCCATTCATATAAACTGTCGTTTACTAATTCTATGCTGTACATTCCTGTAATAAATTTAAGGAACATATTTAAATAAATGTAACTATACCTCAATTAAGTATAAGACTAGATATAAAGTGGTACCTTTTTTGAAACTGTCACTTCGGTAAATGTCACGTAATTCTTTCATGAGTCTATCTGTGGCTTGCACGCTTCCACAAGGAGAACCCTTTAAGTAGTCTTGTCTTTGATTTTGTCTCAACCTTTCTAGTGTTGCCAAATGTTCTAAATCCATCTCTTCACCCTGTACAATATCAATAAAAATAAATGTAAATGAATGGATAAAACAGAATAATAACTTAATAGAATCATTAAGAATAAAGATGCAAATATAGCAATAATGTTTACATTTGATATCCTCCCTTTATTTACCTTACTCTTAGCATTTGCATCTCCCTCATCCATATCTAAATGAAGATATTCCTCAGTCTCACTTTCCTCATCTTCATCAATGTCTTCAACATCATCAGCTTCCATCCTTTGCGCGGCGGTTTCATTTGTTCCCCCTAAACGCAATGGATCCAAAGCTGTTCTTAATCGTTCGACGTCAGGTGGTTCTGGTAATGAGTGAAGTCTACATAATTCTTTCAAGAGAATCCCAACTTGATTAATGACATGGTTGTCACGGCCGGTGGTATTACTTAAAATTTGTACCGCATTTGTAACACTAGTCTCCTCTGAATCTGCAAACCATACTGGTGGTGTAGAAGGGTAGGTTTCCTGTGAAAAATTGATTAATACTTCTGTACTCGTGTCACAAAACGTAATAAATACAATTATATAATTCTTGCAATTTGTAACTTTATTTTTTCATATGTACAAAAGAAAACATTTAAAATTAATAAAGTCAAAATTATTTTGAAATTATTAACCTTCATTACATGGTAGAATATTTCCTTATACTCTTACAATCATTGTATAGTTACTACTCGAAAAAAGAACAATTTAGTAAAATTAAACGAAGCAGAGTGAAATAAACCCAACTATAAAATTTAATAATTTACAATAAATGTAAACAACTTGCACACCTTATGATTGTCTTACGTGAATTTTTACATTAGAAAATTATATTAAACTTTGATTATACGACGAACGTTTGCGAAAAACCTTTATAGGATGTTTACATGTAGATTTATCAAGAGCTGTAATTAGTTTTAATATCGGTGCCACGTACATATGTACATGTAACACGAATCGTAAATTAATTAGTAATGTCAAACGGTAGTTATTAGCAGAAGATGACAACCAGATAAAGATTATCGATTTTACTAACAATCGAATAAACAAAATGTAAATAGTAACGCACGCAATCAATATCTACGAATTAAGCCCATGCGTTCAGCCTTTGTTCCCACATTATAAAATATACGAAATACGTCATTTTGAATAAACCTTTCTTCATCGAATTTCCGTTCAGTCTTAAAAGCTGCACTGTACGCAATTAAATTTAAAAAAAATTATTATTATAGCGATTTTTGATATATACTCAACTATGAATTATAATTTGTATTATAAAGTAAATAGAATACACGAAGACACAATTCTACGCACACGTGATATATTTTCGCATGCACAACTCGATAATAAATTTTCAGCTTCGATGTGATCAGAACCCGCAGTTATTTATCGTGAATCAATCATCCGCGCTGTAACCAACGCAAATACCGCATATGAAAAAATACAATAAGCAATTATATTTCCTTTCAATCATTAAAGATGCAAAGAACGTTTAATGACAATTGAAGACAATTTCGTATTAAAAGCAACGGTAATGACAACGGTAAGAACACCACAAACGGATTTTAACTTATAGGAATTTAATATATCTATCAAAAATTATCTTATATGTGCGAAACAAATAATTTCGTGCAAATATAATATAACTGTCTAAATGAGCTGCAAAATGTAAACGCGTAACGTTCTCTTTCCTTCTGTTTTTATTTTTTATCTTTTTTTTTTGTTTAATATGTAT